AATTCTAAAATGTCCATCATGACATTCAATTAATAAGTGTGTGATCAATATTATGCATTATTTGCCCATCTAGTAAGGGATGTCCACTAACAGCTTTTTAGAATTCTTATACGATACCAATATTGCAGCTTTGATACCAATATTTACCTGATACCACAGCAGCACAGTGTTAAAAGGCATTGAATTCCTCAAAATAAAACTAAGGCCTTAATTGGTATTAAAATGTCTTAAATCAGTCTTTCGTAGCTCTTAATTTTTAAACATCATAAATAGGATTATTTTTATTACGATTTAATTTTGTAATCTAAATGAAACATTACATTTGACAAATGTTTTTTTTATAAAAAGAAAAAAAAAACGGCTCGCCATTATTGGTTCCGTCCCGATAGCGGAACCAATAAAAGCGTTGTTCGGCCGGGACATTTGGGAGGTCTCTACAGCCTGTGGTGCTGAAGGTGCAAAATATTTGGGAAAATATGAGCAAGTATAAATGTAACGAAAATTGGCTATCCAGCCAAAAGTTTTCTTCATGTATTTTGTGCAAGAAGCGATTCATGCTCAGAACGATGGGAATTAAGGCAGGGGAGTCACATGCAAAGTGTTAAACACAAAGCGTCAAAATCGAGTTACCGAGAAACAGCCGGTATTTCTCAGTTTTGTTCCACCCTTGTCTCTGCAACGTCTCCACTTATCACTAAATCAAACATACTAAGAAAACAATTCAAAGAAAAATAGCTGCAAAAAAGACTTAGCACTGGTTATGTTGTGGCTTTAAAACTGATTTGTTTTGTTCCCTGCTAAAGCAAATTTTTTGAATTCAGTTAAATAATTGTTAAAATATATCTGTCATTTGTGTGTTTTTAGCTTTCTTCCTGTATGGGAAGCTTTTCAAAATTTGAAACATTAGTGCAGTGGTTTATGTTAAAATAAACCTTTGGGTAAAGTTGTCGCAAGCGGGTTTTTCTTATGTTTCTTGTAAATTTGGTCTTAAATTTTTATTTCAAGTGGCATTAAAAGTCTTGAATTTAACTTGCCTTATGCTGCAGGAACCCTGAGCACAAATTCTACATACTTATTACTTTTTTTGTTATGTGGAATGATAGAAAATACTTGATCTAATGATATCGCTCAAGCAAAAAACACTAGCTAACATCAAAATGTATGAGAACTGAGTCACATATTAGCCTGTTGGTTACATAAACTTTAAGAAGAATTAGTTTTTTCATTAGCATATTTAGATCACAGATTTTAGGTGCAGTCCAATATTGGTTCCACCATTCTTTTTTATTTTTTTAGGATGATATTGGCCTGATTTCCAAGACCAATATCTGAATAAGACATCACCAACGTCTGATATCGATTCACAAAAAAAAACATAAAAAACGCGTATATGATTTGACTTTTTCTACACTCTTACAGGAGTTAAAATAAACACATTTTACTAATACATATAAATACCTAAACAGTCTATTTGGTACATTAAAAATCTAATTAAAAATAGATTTATCTTGAAGGTGCCGATGTAGTTTTGATTAATTTATTTATTTTTTTTCTCCATATTAAATCAATTTTTATTGGTTAATTTTTAATCATTTCACTGATGTGACCAGTGTTTTTTCACACTTTTTAGGAGACTTGATAATTTTTGATAATATAAGGTGCTGATAAAGCGATGGTTTCTCCTCCCTTCCTGTTTGACCAGTGCTGTTCCATTAGTATCGGTATTCTATAACTATAAAAGTTATGGCAGCTAGATGATTGATGATGAGGTCCTTCCTGAAACCTAAGAAGTATTAAAGCACAATAGCTCGCCAGTATCTGCTAATACGTGCTATCATTGAGCCATGCTGGATGTTAACCTTCTTGTTAACTTCTGCTCGCACCGCTGCAGGATCTGCTGCCGTTTGTCCCCCGCTCCGTTCGCTTCTAGACTCTGACCATCTGTGTCGTGGTTTCAGTGGAAGGTTAGCTTTCATCGGTGATCAGGAGGAACAGCTGGCTGTGGAGAGGGAGTTCTCCAAACTCCCCCGCCCTCACTAACCAGCAGAAACTTCAACAGCTGTCATCTGCCTTCCCAAATGACCCAGCTCTCCTTCCAGCTGCCGTCCCAGCACCCTTCTCCCAGCCCAGTTCTCACATTTATCCCCTCGTCCTGCTTTAGTCCCACTTCTTTTTCTGCACTCAGCCACAAACTCGATGCAGGCACCTTGGCATCCCCATCCTAAAAAAACTGAATGAGGTTTTATTTGTTGTTAATATAAGGATAATGTAAAAAAAAAAAATCAGTTTTCTGTTTTATCTGCTTTTACAGAAATGCTAGATGTGATTTAAAAGTTTTTACTAGAATAGATAAGTTACACTTATTCCAACTGCTACTGAATAGAATTGCACAAGTTTTCTTATTTACATTGATGATTTTTACAACATTGAGTTAGATAATCAACCTCTGCATTAGGTTGAAAAAGCTACTCCACTGATTATATTTTTTCCCTACTCCTGATATGGTAGCAATAGGGAAATAAACAAACTGATGTTGACAAAATAATCAGGCTATATATAACTGGGATGTTAATAAACACAACTGTGGATTGTAAAATTCTTAAAACGTGAATACCTTTAGCTGCTTGATCACTACTATTTATTGTTTCCAGGACTGAAGATAATAAACTGATAAAATATTCTAAGGACGAATCTAGTCTCTCAGCCAGCTGACTGTCAGTGTGCAGCAACATGCCTAATAGAGATGAGAGTCAAGCTTTCAACTTCCAGTTCCTGCTAAAAATGGATTGATGTAGATTGTAGGGATTTTAACATGATGTGGATGTCGGTAAATACAGAAGTTAAAGGACTGTGAGAGTTTGTGTCAAACTGTGGATCTTACTGTATATTGAAACGATCATTCATTGATTTATAAAAACCTCTGTTGTTTTTGGCATTTGTTTTTTTTCTATTGAGTTTTAAATTCATAAGGAGAAACAAATACCTTTTAAGGACAAATTGAAAGACACTATTGGAAAAACACACTTGAATTTCAGTGTCAACCCCACTTAGTTGATCCGCTTAACCAAGAAATATCAGTAACTTCTCATAAAAGTAGCTGATATTTGATGTTTTATTTTTGCCTTAGCCCCCCAACAAAAAAGGCAAGTACAGTAACAGAATTGCATACAATTCATTATGATTTTTAATTAAATGATGACCTGAATAAAACTTTTTGAGCTGTAGGATATTTCTGTAGCAATCCTTAAATAAGTGTTTGTTGAATACGTGTGTCGAAAATAAAATTCAGAGATTCTTTAGGGATATAAATGTAAAATTTTAGTTGTCAGTACGGTAGGTTAGTTCAATGCACCGCTAGTTAGGTGGGTTTATTGCTCATTTTCTGTCTACTGTTCCTACAAGATAAATCTAATATTTACTTTTTAATCTCAAATATCTGGCACCTTTTGTGCTTTGCTCTTTACACTTACTCCAACTTGTCTTCTTCTTTGCCTATGTGCATATTTTCAGAAATTGGGAGAATACCCAAAAGTTTTACTCAAAATTACACCAAATACTATTCTAACATTTTTCTACTCCAGAAAAAGTAAAGAGTAGTCATAAAAGAAGTTACTTAAAGTCGTAGGGAAATCATATTTAAATGTCAAAGAATCCTGGCTCAAACATGTATATAAATGTACTCTTTATCAGACGATATTGTCCCAAAAGTCCTGTGTTAAAATCTGTGGGGGGGGTTTTCTCGTTATCTTATGCAGGCCAGTTAGTTATAGGTCAGCTTGAACGCCTAAATTCGGCCAATTATGTATCAACAGTCATCTGTCAAGCACATTTTCTCGTCATCTTGATTCATATGTCGCAGCTAATTTACGCAACGATTGAAATTAGAATCATTTCCTTTACCACTAAGTTCCGTCCCAGTGTTCACGGGGATGGACGTCTGTGTCTTCAGCAGGCGTAGAGCTAACAGAACTGGCAGCGTTGCGAGGCAAGGGCTCAAACATGTACGGCTGGAAGCCTTCTACACCAAACCAAGCTTCTGCCGCCCTGGCGTCCTCTTCCACAACATCTTCGTCCCCGCTTTCCTCCTCTAAATAAAAAATGTATGATGGAGGAAACTCATCCACGACCTCCGACACTAAACCCTCCTCCTCTTGCATGTTTCCTCTGTCCATAGCGTTCCTTGACAGTGTCGTTTCTAAGTCACCAATTTAGTGCTACTTGGTCCCAATGGAATTTCCCATTGGAAACCTACTAGCTCTAAGTTGCTAACTGGTTAGCAAGATACTTCCTACAAATCGGCCACAACCAAACTTGCTTGCAAACCTTCCACCAGAACAATCCCGCCCCCTTGATAAACGACCAATCACGTTCACTTTATTCACTCGTGTAAAGTCGGGCACCACTCGGGAGAATTCGGAAATGCAACGGTTGGAACAGCCGCTTCTCTACAACTCTAAGTAGGCATCAAACAGTACTTCAAATGGCTACTTGGCCACTGCATACTTGTTGGCTCCTGAATTCTGATTCAATGTTCAAAACTATTTAATCAGAATGTTAGGAATAAATTCTGATATTTTAAAACTTTCTCAATCAAAGGTTTCTACACAAACTTTTAAAACCAATTCTAAAGTAAAAGAAAAGGTACAGTAAACAACAAATACCCTAACAAATATTTGTTGAGGTACATGTAACTGAGTAAATATGACCAGTTCTAGCTCTGCATATTTACATAAAAAATACCATTTTATTTCCCTCCACATTTCTAAATTTCTATTAAAATGATGCGTATGTTGACCACGGTCAGATTCCTGGTTTGTGTTTACAGACGTGTCGAATACAGTTCACCCTGATGGCAAACTTTTAAGGTCAACTTTGTGAAACCTTCACATACATTCCCACTGGCATCCCACCAACGCTTGCAGTTTAATACGACCATAGCATCGTGTGCCTGAATGTTTTGCTTTAAACTAAAGATCTGGATTTTATTGTGTGTTTTCCAGCAGTATCACCCAAGATCATCAAGCTACGAGAGGAATCATCGGATTATGCCGAAGCACAGAGAGGAAAGAGTCCAGGCATCAACAGCGCCTTGGTCCCTGTTAAGGGAATCATAAACCTCGGTAACACCTGCTTCTTTAATGCCGTTATGCAGGTTGGTATCAAAACTGTTATTATTTTTATTAACGAAAGGATGAGCATTTAAAAAGCTGTCTTGTTTTGGTCATTTTTGTTTTATTTAAGCTCAAATTAATGTTTTTTTGAAGCAGAATCTCTTGGTAAAGTGGAGCTCTTATTGCAAACAACCTGCTAACAAATTATCGTTCCACTTACAGAAGCGATTAGCCTAATGAATCACAAGTATTTCCATTCTGCCTCAGTGGTAGATATGCATATCTGTAGAAGGTGTAAACACTCATCATGTTTCTCTATTCATGAGGCTGGTTTAAAGAGAAGCTGAGCACAGCTTTACATTAACTGAGAGTATATATACGTAGCTAAATAAAGGGCAGCAGTTCATGCGGCGTTGGCTTGGAAACATTCACCTCGCCGTCGTGCAAACAGCAGCGCGATAAACCCTCCTCTGTGTTTCTGTGGTCATGTCATGGTGACTGCAAACTGACATGCCTCTGCAACAATGAAGCTGTTTTTTTCAGCCATTTTGTTAATCACCCTCAGGGTCTCGTCGGTTGATTGAAATTGGAGTGAGCGAGCTTTTCATGCTTCTCCCTCCCTCTCTGAGTGTTTGTATTGTCTCCTTGAAAATTGCAATCTTTTTTTTTTTGAAAACGCATAATTGTCAGAGGATGAGCAGTGTCTGCATTCACAGCTCCGCTTCATTGTGTGTTTTGCATAGAAACTGTTTATTTGGCAGGATGTGAAAAAAACAAACAAATACAGGTTTGAAAGGAGAGGGGAAAAAAACGCCTGTATAACTTATTTTTTTTTTATCCTCTCCAAGGATTGTTTTAATGGAGAAACATCACCAACCATAAATCACTTTTGAAAGCCTCTTAAACAATAATAAGCTCACCAGAAGTTTGCAAACGCTGCAGAAATGGACATAGCAATTGGAACAGGTGTTACATACAGCATTTTAGCATGATACAAGTATTCTTTGCTTTAATCAGTTATAAGTTGTTACATTCATGCTACTTTTGCGCAGTTTCTTCCTGAGTCCGTTAAATAACATGCTGCTGTCATTTTTCACATTTCTGATGTTGCTGCTATTTTTAAATATCCATTACTGTAAAAATGTCCATAGCTGTATATTGGTTATTTATTCTCCAAGTGCACAGTTTTTATATTGTTAAAACACTTTACAGTGCAGTGTTTCGTTTGTTTATTTGTCTTAACTCTTCACTATTATTTTATTCTTATACATTTTTTCTAAGGACCACATTTCTATAACCAGAAACCACATTGCTGTAAACACCAGAATGTCCAGATTGTGGGACATTAAAGGGATTTCTTTTATTCTATTCTATTTTATACTAATCTATTCTGTTCTATTTTATTCTAATAAACCAGAGGTGCATCGAACAGAAGTTTCTGAGGCACTTTTCAGCTTTTGGTTTCTGCCATTACAATTTTGGGTTTCTCTTAGGATTTATTACTGACTGTTTAAAGCATTTGATTTTCTGTTGCTGTGAGAAGAAGCCGAGCCAATGATAAACAGGTTTTTTAACATAAACATAAATTATATTTTAAATATCCTTCAAAATCTTTTGTAAAACAAGCAAACATGGTTGACATGCTATGTAGACCCTATGCCTAACTGCAAAATCGCCTTATAGGGATTTAACACCAGTTTACCATGTCGGCCCAAAATATGTTGGAATTTTTAGCTTCAAAATTGCTTTTTGTGATACGTAAAAAAAAAAAACTTTATTACTTCAAAAATTTTATATCCATTTTTTATATTTACTCATGGAAATCATAATTGTTTCCCTAGCACAATGCATGCTGGGTAAATGACATGGGTATGTCTGACTGGACTGGGACCTGCAGGGAGATCAACTGTTTAGTATATTAGCCAGAACTAACACCATTAGCAGAAGCTAATGTGAAATCAAAAAGGGAAGATGGGGAACGACTGTTTAAAGTGACAGTGAAGCATCTTTCTTTCTTTGTAACACATCGTTCTAATATATCTGAAAAAATGTTTTTGATCTCAATGCTAACTGTAAACAGCCCCAATTAGAAACTGGAGCTCTTTTGAGCCTGCGTAATGTTTTGATTTGCTTTCAGGGGAGCTAAACCTAGAAGTTATGGCTCTAGCTCAGCTAGTGGCTAAAATGTACACAGCGCTTCTTTAGATAAGAGTAAACAGACTGTTAAACATGATTTACTGAAATAACGACCCAACCAGGAAGGTAATAACTACATTAGAGGTAGACCAATACGTCAATATTTTGGGGCGATATTGCTTTTTTAAAAAAAAATCTTTCATTGTTTATATGTTTTTTTTAGATTTTTTAATCGATGTATCTTTTTGTTTTAAACTGAGCAACATTTGTTTTAATCGTATCGTTTTTATCATGTAAATGCAGCAATATGTTCTTAAAGGGTCAACCCAAAGAATCAGCAGGTATTAGCGTCAACTTCAAAAAGCGTATCTTTTTTGTACCCAAATGATAAATATGTTGCATTTTAGATGAAAAAAACCTACATGACTTTAAACTGTGTGCAGAACTCCTTTAGGGACATTTCCTATTCCGAACCTTTTGCTGTCTGATTATAAATCTGTTAATAGTAAGAAAACAGGCAATTTATTAGCTAAATGGTTGTTAGTTGTTGTCTTACTAATAACTGATACAAAAAATATGTAACTTTGAGGTTTATTCTGTCAACAACTGCTGCACTGAAGAGTGTTGCTGGTAGAACATAATGAATTTGGTTGTAATTGTTGTAGTGCAGCTAATCAATGTATATACAAATCTGTGTGTCTGAGGGTTTGGAGTGGAGTGGCATACTGTATATTTTCATTTGAAGTAACGCTTTAAAAACCGTTTGTTTTTCTTGCTGTGAAACAGAACCTGTCCCAGACACACATGCTCATTGACCTCATTCAGGAAGTGAAGGAGAAAGGCTACAAGCTGAAGATCTGTCCGCCTGTCGAGACAAATCTGGTACAGTCTGCTGTGGTTTACTCTCTCTCTCTCTGAAGATAAATGTTCAAACTCATCGGCCTCGGCTGTTACTTCAAATCTTTCATCTTCTTCTTTTCTCCAAAAAACAGTCATTACTAAAACGAGGTCATTTACGATTTAACTTTTTTTGGATTCAAACTATATCAGCTTTGTTGGATGAAATAGAAAATAAATTCTGATAAATTTATTATAATACCAGGATGTTGCTTCTCAAAGTTCTGTTAAAGGTGCAGTTTGTACTTCTTTGATCGAATGACAGTAACTTTTCACTCTTTCTTTGAGTTAATAATAAAGATTTGTCTCTTCCTTTTGCAGAATCCGCTGTCGGTGGTCTTGTGCAGTCCAGATCCGCTGACGTCAGCCATGATTCACTTCCTGCAGAGCATGAAGGAGCCAGGGAAAGGCCCTGTCAATCCCAAAGTCCTCTTCAACCAGCTCTGCCAGAAGTACGATCTAACCCCTTTATGTTATCATTGTTATTTATTCAGAGCATAAAATATGAAGTACGACAAATATACAGTACATAGAAATTAACATATAATTGTATTTTGCTTGAAAATTAGAGGGAAGAAGAAAATGTATTTAATCCCAACCCTTTTCATTCCTACAAAGGATTTTAAAAACATGACTGCTTCACGTCTACATAGTTTTTCCTTTTCTTAAAGGTGGTGTTTTTTTCTATCAGAAACTTCTCCCCCATGATGATCCTATAAAAGCAGAGGAGCTTAATGTTAATAATTTAAGGGATCTACCTGCAGTAGTGATGTTAATGTAAGCACATATTAATAATTATTTGTTCCCTACAAGCTAAAGTTTTTAAAATGGTAGTCAGACCATAGCAGAGGTCACAGATTAGCGGACCGCAGTCCGGATCCGGACTCGCCTGCTGGCTAATCTGGTCCCAACCTGATTTAAAACATTTATAAATTACAGCATGTTGTCCGACGACAGTGTCTAAATTCACTTGCGCTGCTTCTCCTGTTAATACGGTAAAGCCTTCCAGAGTGTCCAGGACCAGGCTACATGTGATACAAATTAGCCAATGAGCTGCTGTCAGTCTGGGTTGCTGCTGCTGCTACTTTTAGACACAGCAGGCAAACCTGTGGCAAGCCGGGCGATGGGGAAGAAGGAGAAGACGATGGGAAAAAGAGAACAGAGGAAGTGTGGACTGCTCAAAATGCTGCGGTGAAGTGGAAAAGTGAAATTATGTGCTCAAAGATGACCCTGCACATTTAGAGTATGTTTGGCTCAACCTGCTGCTGTGAAGCAGGATTCTCCACCATGAACAGAATTGAAAATAAATATGGATCCAGGCTCAAAATGAGCACCTTGATATGTGCTTTAGAATGGCTTTGTCTCCATTCAAACCCAGGTTTAAAGCCTAAAACCCACTGCTCTCATTAAGCCAGAAAAAAGAAACGGTCAGTTCAGGTGTTTTATAAAATATCTGAATCAGGAAATTCTCTATATACCAAACTGAACGATTGTTGTTCTCTACTTCAAAAAACACTTTAGATTTTAAAATGGAAACATTTTCTATTTTTTTATAAAAGGTTTTATTTAAAAAGTCAATGTATAACATGGATGCATAAACACCTCTTTTTATTTCAGTGTTAAATTATGTTTAAAGTAACAGATTTTAGTTAAAAATGTTTCCGGACCTTTACTGGCTGATTTTCTTTATTCCCCTGCTGATTTTTTTTATTGGTTACCCCTGGACTATAGTCTTCCCATCACAGCCTCAGCAGTTTATAAATTCCCAGCCTTTGCTTTTCACCTGCTTTCTTCCCATTTCTAACCAGGTAACACCTGGTCCCAGCAGCGTCCCCTCATGATGCTCCATCCTCGCTCTGAACAATTCACACTGTGCTTTATTAAATGTCCTCCAGCCAGCTGATTGTTGGCTGTCTGCTGTTTGCCACCTGTGTCATGTTTGATGTGGATCAAGGCCTGCTGCTCTGTGTGACCGGCCAAAGCCTTTGCTTTTATGAGCTGAACAGCAATGTTCTCTTTTATAATACGTGGTCGAGTGACTTCCTGTCGGAGCATGGTGCACTGCTGGTTGGATCCAGCTCGCCTGTGTGTGCGTGGCGGGTCTCGCACTGTTTAGTAGTGCAGGTGGGTAACTGGGACGGTTAATGTTGGATGAGTGGCTGCGTCTCTGGTGCAGTTATTCTGGCAGCTAGTCGGGGGGCTGCCTGACGCGTGCTTCGGTGTGAGCGTGGACTGCCACCTCACCTGGTACCGTCTAAAGCTGCAACACAAACGCAGGCAGCGGTGCATTCAAACATCACCCACACCTTTATGCACTCATTCGTTTAATTATAACGGGGTTAATCTATTCCACTGACACGCGTTTCTGAAGAGTGATGTAGTCTGAAGCCTCAGCACCCTGTTAGACACCATGTTTCCTTCCAAACACAAAATATTTAAGAACTCTGGATCCTCTAGTATTCACTGAGAAATTATTTTTCTCCATATTGGCTTGGAAATGAAAAACAAACAGACATATTTTCACCTGTATTCTGTGGAACTATGCACACAAATTCCTCAGTTTAATAAGTTTTAAGACAAAGCACCATGAAAGAACCAGAAGACCTGCAGAGTATTTGTCATTTGTATCCAGCCATGCAGGTCCTGGCACCTTGTGCCAGAAATCCAATAGAATTCCTCGGTGTGACCTTGTTATTTTAGTGGAAATACCTCCCAGCTCCAATCAGTGGTGCCTATTGATCCAGGCTGACAAATACATTGTACCCAAATTGCTTAACGTGTTTCACAGCAAAACATGAGTGTAAAACTGATAAAGAAGCAGCAAGACTGACAGTGGGAGATGTTTCTGCTTTTAAAAGGTGGATCTGTTAGCTTTGAATCCCTGTTAAACTTTCAAACATGTTGGGGCTCTGATGGTTTTTTTTTACTCTCTTAAGCAGAAATCCTTGAGGGTGTTTGCAGTTTGCACCAGCTAACAGAACAATTCCTCTGATCCAAAACATTGGAGCAGGTTAGATGTGATTCCTTTGAAAGGGGACATTGCATTCATGACAGTTCAGTTAAGGCTATTTATCAACTCTAGTCCCCTGGAAATGAAGTTAAAAAAAAAGAATAGATACATAATGAAATAAGTGCCTTTTAGCAGCTGAGGTCTTCATGTTATAGATATATGGTTGGAAGTGGTAACTCATACAATCTTTCTGCTTTAGTTATACTAATATATAGCTTTCAGCACAAAAAAAGCAGATCAATAAATACAGGACACCTTAAATACACGATAAACACATGATACGGAAGAGGATTAGTATAGAAGAGGATTAGGCCCACAGAAAAAAGCAAACTGATTTTTCAACAATATTTCAGTTTAATATGGGAGAAAAGGCAGAGATCTCACTTTCATCTCAGGATTCTGACTTTTTTCTCAGAATTCTGACTTTGTTAGTTGTCAGAATTATATCAGAATTGAAAACCTCTCTTCTTTTAATCACCTTCTGCTCTTCCTATAATGAGATGGCATCACCTGGGACCCCTCGGGTCCTCTAATTCCTTCATTTTCCACCAATGTGTCACTGGCACTCCCAAACAACTCACCTTTGTCAGTGAAGCTGGGTTCTCCCACTTCTCTTCTTTTATGGTGCCCATCTAGATTAAGATCCAAAATTCTGAGATTAAAGTCAGCATTCTGAGAAAAAAAAATTCAAAATTCTGACTTTAGTCTCAGAATTCTGAGAAAAAAAGTCAGAATTCTAAGATTAAAGTCAGAATTCTGAGATTAAATTCAGAATTCTGAGATTAAAGTCAGAATTCTGTGATTAAATTCAGAATACTG